CCCCAAAACCCCAAAACCCCAAAACCCCAAAACCCCAAAACCCCTTATAACCTCTCCCAAATTGACTTATCCAACTAAAACTAATTTATTCTATGGATTCTTCCAAACCCCTCGTCACCGTCATCGGCGCCAGTGAGTATGTAGGAGCTTGGCTGGTAGCCAAGCTCCTACAGACTGGCCAGTATAGGGTCAGAGGAACTCTGAAGAACCCGAGGAAACTTGGTAAGTGATGGATAATTTAGGAGTAGAGTACCTTAGAGGAAGACTTAAGGATTTGTGTGAAAGTGAGTATGAGAATTTGGAGTTGGTCTTGGCGGATTTGTTGGATTATACGTCATTGGAGAAAGCGGTTGATGGCGCTAGTGTGGTGTTTATGATGGCGTATGGTGCAGTGAAAGTGAAGATGAAGGATTTTGAAGGGACTGCGCTTAAAGTGATGGTTGAAGGAACAGCGGATCTATTGAACGCATGTGATGGAGCTGGAGTCCAGAAAGTTATTATTAAGTCAGATTCTACAGCTCTCATTGATTTCAGAAAAGGATCAGGGACATATGGTCATGATGATATATCTGAAGAGCATTCAAAATGCACTAGATTTCAAATTGCGAGGATCAGACAAGAGAAAGTTGTAAAAAGCTTTGTTGAAGAGCTTGATCAAAGAAAAGAGAGAAAATTTGATGTTGTCTTGATGAACCCTGAGAATGAATCAATTAGTGGAGCTCCTCTAGTCCCAGAAATCAAGGAAAACTTCCTCGGAATCTTAAATCTTATTCTGGGTGGTAAAATGCCTTACCTTCCTGCTCTTTATCACAACATTATTGATGTGCAAGATGTAGCTCAAGCTCATATCAATGCAATTGAAAAGGGTAAGCATATGGAGAAGTATCCTCTCTGTTGTGAGACCATAAAAGCCAAAGAGATGGTGAAGAACATAATTATTCCAAACTTTAGACCTCCTATCTATCAAATAGGAGATAAAGAAATGAGCAAATGCCTTATTTGGATTGTGAGCTTTTGTATTCCTGAAGGTAAAGCCTTAATGTTGGGATGGAATAAGAAATTTGAGCTTGACGGAGAGTACTCAACAAAAGAGCTAGGGCTAAAAGAATGCATTTCAGCTTATGATTCTGTACTTGAGACATGCAACTATCTGGTCCAAAATAATTTGCTGGGAAAAGCTCCAGGTCAAATTTTAGTTTAAACAAACCCTGACATTTCACCATTCAATGAAAAATGATTGTCTAGGGGTTTTGGGGTTTTGGGGTTTTGGGGTTTTGGGG